TCCAAACTATTGTGACACCAGATCTAATTAGAGGCACTGGTCACCGTATCCACTGTTAGCGTAACACACCCGCTTTAAGGACATTGACTGCTATTCAATCTATAACAGTGAAAAAAGATTATTTTTTTTTTAAATCCAAACTATTGTGACACCAGATCTAATTAGTGGCACTTGTCAGCGTATCCACTGTTAGCGTAACACACCCGCTTTAAGGACACTGACTGCTATTCAATTTATAACAGTAAAAAAGTTTTTTGTTTTTAAATCCAAGCTATTGTGACACAGGATCTAATTAGTGGCACTTGTCAGCGTATCCACTGTTAGCGTAACACACCCGCTTTAAGGACACTGACTGCTATTCAATCTATAACAGTGAAAAAAGATTATTTTTTTTTTAAATCCAAACTATTGTGACACCAGATCTAATTAGTGGCACTTGTCAGCATATCCACTGTTAGCGAAACACACCCGCTTTAAGGACACTGACTGCTATTCAATCTATAACAGTGAAAAAAGTGTTTTGTTTTTTTAAATCCATGCTTTGTGTCACCAGATCTAATTGGTGGCACTTGTCAGCTTATCCACTGTTAGCGTAACACACCCGCTTTAAGGACACTGACTGCTATTCAATCTATAACAGTGAAAAAAGATTATTTTTTTTTTAAATCCAAACTATTGTGACACCAGATCTAATTAGTGGCACTTGTCAGCGTATCCACTGTTAGCGTAACACACCCGCTTTAAGGACACTGACTGCTATTCAATCTATAACAGAAAAAAAAGTTTTTTGTTTTTAAATCCAAGCTATTGTGACACCAGATGTAATTGGTGGCACTGACTGGGAAATGGGCACAGTATGCACTGTGAGCCTGACACAGAAGCTGGCAGCAGTGGCAGACAACTGACTGCTATTCAATCTATAACAGTGAAAAAAGTTTTTTGTTTTTAAATCCAAGCTATTGTGACACCAGATGTAATTGGTGGCACTGACTGGGGAAATGGGCACAGTATGCACTGTGAGCCTGACACAGAAGCTGGCAGCAGTGGCAGACAACTGACTGCTATTCAATCTATAACAGTGAAAAAAGTTTTTTGTTTTTAAATCCAAGCTATTGTGACACCAGATGTAATTGGTGGCACTGACTGGGGAAATGGGCACTGTGAGCCTGACACAGAAGCTGGCAGCAGTGGCAGACAACTAAGTGCATTTACATTAGATAGAAAAAAAAAATCCAAAAAAAGCATACCCTTATCCCTAACCTAGCTATGCTTTTCCCTATCTTATGAACAGCAGCTACACTTTCCCTCCTCTTACTAAGCATGCAGCTTGAGAATTAATCTAAAATGGATGCTGTCCAGTAGGTGGGAGGGTCTGCTAGGGAGGCTGTGCTGCTAATTGGCTGGAATGTGTCTGCTGACTGTGAGGTACAGGGTCAAAGTTTACTCAATGATGACGAATAGGGGGCGGGTCGAACCGCGCATATGTTCGCCCGCTGTGGCGAACGCGAACATGCTATGTTCGCCAGGAACCGTTCGCCAGCGAACTGTTCGGTACATCACTAATGCACACCAAATCATTCCTTACTTTAGGTTAATCGATGATGTCCTTATCCTATGGAGAGGCTCTAAAGATGAAGCCGTTCAATTTGTACAAAACCTAAATGAGTTACCTACTCCGGTCAGATTCACTTCAACTTTTAGTGAGTCTAATATACAATTTCTTGACATTGAAATTATGATCATTAATCAACTATTGGAATATACTTTATTTTCCAAACTTCTGACCAGAACACTCTATTGCACTTTGACAGCTTTCACCCTAAACATCTTAAGCAATCGTTGCCCTACTCACAGTTTTTACGAGTTTTGAGAAATAACTCACTGGGGGACAAGTGTGCACAACAACTAGCTCAGATGTATGAGAAATTTCAAGCAAGGGGATATCCCTGAATGGTTCTCGACAAGGCTCTATCTAAAGCTAAACAAGTGCCTGGTTTAAACTCACAGGTTCAACCCAAGGTTGCTATAACCAGATGCAGATTTTTAACATTGTTGAACACGGCGAGTTCAGAATTGAACACTACTATCCAAAAACATTGGCAAGCATTGGAGCTTGATCCTACTCTTCCAGAGACTTTTCAACAAACACCTATGCTCTGTTACCGAAGAAACAGAAACCTAAGGGATTTACTTATGAAGACTGATCCACGACATTGTTACGATAAAAAAAAGATGGGCAATTCCAGTGTCGGGCGTGTGAGGTGTTTGGGGTGTGTGACGTGCGGTCATCTCATTCCATCCAAAACCTTTACACACCCTTATACAGGACACGTTTATAAAATCCGACAACGAATACATTGTCGGACTGATTATGTAATTTATAAACTCACTTGCCCATGTGGATTGAACTATGTTGGTAAAACAGAGACTGCCCTCTGTGAGAGAATTAGGGGCCACAGATCAAGTATCCGGCTTGCCTATCGTGATGGCAAGTCGGACAAACCTGTGGCCAGACATTTTCTAGAGTTTCAACACCAACTTTCTTCACTAAGATGCACAGCAATTGAACATGTCCCAAAGCCAATTCGTGGTGGTGACAGAGCCAAATTGCTTTTGCAGAGGGAAGCATATTGGATTTACCAATTAGGAACATTGTCCCCTAAAGGTCTCAATGAAAAATGCTCTTTTGTAGCATTCTTATGAGATTGACAATCAGGAACATTCATGATGTTTAATATATACTCTGTTTTTCTTTATGATTATTATTAGGCTAATAGTTTTCATTTGATCCGTGAATAGCATCATTAGATTGAATTGTAATGGAAATTTTTTTTAAAATTAGAATATAGAGTTTTTTCATCTGAATATTTATAGGTAATCCAGGTACACGCAGTCTGTGTCAATGCATGGGATAGAATGACATTTTAGTAATACATTGCTTACTTTTAAGTACAATTCTTTTTCTAAGTTTCAGTCATTTTTTTACATATCATAAACTTCACAGTTTTTGCACACCACATATGACATAACTCTATACACATCATGTCTAGAATATTTATAATATTGGACTTGGTCCTCTTTAAATATAATATCTTGTTTTCACTTTATTTGTAAGGCTCTGTTTTCCCTACACTTTTTAATTCTTAGGACACCAGAGTCATAAAGTATACTAGATATACAAAAATATTTTTGTCCTCTTTCTATTCCTATTTAGGATTTTTTTTATCAACGATGTTTCTCACATCTGAATACTTAGCACTTTAAACACCTTTTTGATACCACAGACATTTACATTAACAATAGACACTTAGGTTTTTATATTTTAGCTATGTAATATATGATCTTTAAATGTCTATAATACATGTTGTGATCCTTGTTTGCAAGTAGCACGGTCCTCTAGGGTAAACAATAGGCACAGTCCTTGTAATTGCATATACTCCAGGCACTTTATTTGTAAATCCACACAGGATACAGCAGTAAATGAAAACATAAATGTAACACAAAACCATATAAACAAAAACCTAGCTCGTCTGAGCACTAACTGACATTAGGTTCCCTATCTCTCAGGGTTAAACTAAACAAAACAATAGTGGTTTCACCAACCTAGAGTCTTTGTCCACTCTCAGCACTCCAGTATTTAGCCAGCCTGCTGCTTCCAGCCTTTCAGAGAGAAACAAAACATTCTCTCCTACCTGCCTAGCAGGGAGGGATTTATTCCCACTGCTGCAGCCGATTACCTGCAGCTGAGCAGTAGGTTGGAGACAGTCCAAAACCCTGGGCTGGATCTATGTCTTCCAAGAAAACCGCTAAACTGCGGAGTGGAGCACTGGCCCACCCTGCTCTCCAAATGCTCCACCCCAGGGGCCCATAACTAAATATTCATTCTGGTTACATACACAGAAACATACACTCCCCCTGGGGTTAAAAATCAAATGCCTCTCTGAACAATTCTGTCGAGATATAGACTCCCTCACAGACCACCCCATTCACCTTATCACAATGTGTAATAATATATCTGCACTCTGTAACCTCTCATTTCTTATATAGGGATTGCTTGTCTTCTGTGTGGTCACAGACAGTTATACTTTTTAATTATAGCATCCTCCGCTTGAAAAGCGGTTATAAATGCATTTGTTTAAGTTTGTCCCTCTCAGTAGACCATAGAACTTCCTTTTAACCAATCGGAAGTTAGTATTCTCGGTTTCTAAGCACCTACGAACGGTGCCCAATCAGCAAGAGTCTCGCGGTCAGGTGACCAACCCGGAAATGAATTCAGTCGTGGCGGCAAACAGACACGAGCAATCCCTGAACCAGCTGCATGCAAGTACCTCATTTACCAAGTAATTTTGTTCCTTATATAAGCATAATTTTCATTTTAAGATGTTGTATGTCCTGATGAAAGCTCCCTAGAGGAGCTGAAACGTTGATTTATTTTTACATAGTAAAAAGCTGTTAAAATTCCTTGAGTGACGGTTTTCTTCTACTCTCTACAATTGAGCCACCAGAGCACCAGGTAAAACATATTTTTTTTGGAGTGCAGGGGTTTGACATATTTTTTGTGTATATATATATATATGACAAATACATGACACTTTATTTTCTTAATTATAGTAACTATTCAAACAGTTATGAAAAAAGGCCACGTCTTATCATGTCCATTTTCCATGTCAGTTGTTTACAATGATTTTATAAATGTTTTTTGATAAGGCCAACTTATAACATTTCTATATTTATTTTCAGGGCCACAGTCTCTTACAGCCTTGTTCTTTAAGAACCAGAGTGACACTAAGTATGCAAGATTACTGGTGAACTTTAAGCCTCTACCAGAAGTTACAGTTTGTGCATATATGCAATGGGAAGGTACAGACGGAATTTCTGAAACAATTTTTTCTTATGCAGTGCCAACTTTTTTCAATGAGTTCCAGTTGAGAGGTCTCTCGAAAGATGGGCAAGTTCAGTTTGCCATACTAGTTCATGGTCAACATACACCATTCTCACCCATGTTCAACATTGATCGGCTCTGGCATCATTTCTGTGTTACCTGGAATACATTGAATGGCACATGGGCTTTGTATGCTGATGGACAAATGAAAGCTACATCCACCAACATCTATGCCTTCCATGAAATCATGAAAGGTGGTATATTTATTGTGGGCCAAGATCAAGATACATTTGGAGGTAGTTTCAAACAGAAAGATTCATTCAGTGGTAATATTACATACCTGAATATCTGGAGAAAAGTGCTCAATGATGATGAAATAGAACAGGTCAGATCATGCAGCTTATCAGAAAAATACATTGTTTTTGGTTGGAATACACACAAGTTGGAAAAAGAAACAGCTTTGCAAGAATTTGATATTCCAGTGGCTTGTCCGGGTAAGTGTTTTTACAAAACAAAATCATAAATAGTTTTGAAAAGAGAATACAAATAAAGTGACCTGAATGTCATAGTTACTTATCGGTAGCAATTATTATTAAAATACGTCCAACAGTTTATAGAAACATAGAAACATAGAATGTGACGGCAGATAAGAACCATTCGGCCCATCTAGTCTGCCCAATTTTCGAAATACTTTCATTAGTCCCTAGTCTTATCTTATAGTTAGGATAGCCTTATGCCTATCCCACGCATGCTTAAACTCCTTTACTGTGTTAACCTCTACCACTTCAGCTGGAAGGCTATTCCATGCATCCACTACCCTCTCAGTAAAGTAATACTTCCTGATATTATTTTTAAACCTTTGTCCCTCTAATTTAAGACTATGTCCTCTTGTTGTGGTAGTTTTTCTTCTTTTAAATATAGTCTCCTCCTTTACTGTGTTGATTCCCTTTATATATTTAAATGTTTCTATCATATCCCCCCTGTCTCGTCTTTCCTCCAAGCTATACATGTTAAGATCCTTTAACCTTTCCTGGTAAGTTTTATCCCGCAATCCATGAACCAGTTTAGTAGCCCTTCTCTGAACCCTCTCTAAGGTATCAATATCCTTCTGAAGATACGGTCTCCAGTACTGTGTAACATTATTATGTTGCCCTACTGAGAGGTTTTCTATAGGTCTCACTTAGTCTATAGAAAACCTCTCAGTAGGGCAACATAATAATGGTGCTGGAGTCCTATGCAATATCAATACCACCACATAAAAAGACACATCAGTAAGTGCCCCCTCCCCCAAAAAATAACGATACTATTTAGTATGCATGCATTTAATTATGCATTTTTTTATTTGGTGTATCTAAAAACAGCTTGCAAAAGCTGAAGATCACTTGTCTGAAGCCTTTGCATGTACTCCACTTCCTCCCCAGCCCAGACTTTGTATGGCTATCCAATTACAGACTTCACAATGAGAAGTATTTTCGAGACAAGTGCTCTGAGCAATTTCCTCCCTCTGGAGTTGAGCTCCACGGAGCTTAATTACCAGGAAAAAACCGGTTGTTTGACTGACAGCAAAGGGAGTGTAACAAGGTTAATTTATGAAAATGCTAATTTCAATCAAAAACCGGACTTTTTGTAAAGTGAAAAAAGAGGACACACTCTTCACACATACAGGTGATACTCGAAAAATTTGAATATCGTGCAAAAGTTCATTTATTTCAGTAATGCAATGTAAAAGGGGAAAATAATATATGAGATAGACGCATTACATACAAAGCAAGATAGTTCAAGCCGTGATTTGTCATAAGTGCGATGAATATGGCTTACAGCTCATGAAAACCCCAAATCCACAATCTCAGTAAATTAGAATATTGTGAAAAGGCGCAATATTCTAGACTCACAGTGTTTCATTCTAATCAGCTAAGTAAGACATAACACCTGCAATGAGTTTCTGAGCCTTTAAATGGTCTCTCAGTCTGGTTCTGTAGGAATCACAATCATGGGGAAGACTGCTGACTTGACAGTTGTGCAGAAAACCATAATTGACACCCTCCATATAGAGGGAAAGCCTCAAAAGGTAATTGCGAAGGAAGTTGGATGTTCCCAAAGTGCTGTATCAAAGCACATTAATAGAAAGTTATGTGTAAGGGAAAAGTGTGGAAGAAAAAGGTGCACAAGCAGCAGGGATGACCGCAGCCCAGAGAGGATTGTCAGGAAAAGGCCATTCAAATGTGTTGGGGACTTTCACAAGGAGAGGACTGGGCTGGAGTCAGTGCATCAAGAGCCACCACACACAGACGGATCCCGTACATGGGCTTCATATGTTGTATTTCTCTTGTCAAGCCGCTCCTGAACAACAAACAACGTCAAAAGCATCTTACCTGGGCTAAAGAAAAACAGACCTGGTCTGTTGCTTAGTGGTAAAAAAGTCCTCTATTCTGATGAGAGCAACTTTTGCATCTCATTTGGAAACCAAGGACCCAGAGTCTGGAGGAAGAGTGGAGAGGCACACACTGCAAGATGCTTGAAGTCCAGTGTGAAGTTTCCACAGTCTGTGCTGATTTGGGGAGCCATGTCATCTGCTGGTGTTGGTCCACTGTGCTTCATTAAGTCCAGGGTCAACGCAGCCATCTACCAGGAGATTTTGGCATACTTCATGCTTCCTTCCGTAGACGAGCTTTATGGGGATGCTGACTTCATTTTCCAGCAGGACTTGGCACCTGCCCACCCTGCCAAAAGCACCAAAGCCTGGTTCAATGACTGTGGGATCACTGTGCTTAATTTGGCCAGCAAACTCGCCTGACCTGAACCCCATAGAGAATCTATGGGGCATTGCCAAGAGAAAGATGAGAGAAATGAGACCGAACAATGCAGAAGAGATGAAGGCCGCTATTGAAGCATCCTGGTCTTCCATAACACCTCAGCAGTGCCACAGGCTGAAAGCTTCCATGCCATGCCGCATTGAGGCAGTAATTGCTGCAAAAGGGGCCCATACCAAGTACTGAGTCCATATGCATGCTTATATTTTTCAGAGGTCCGATCTTGTTCTATGTACACTCCTTGTTTTATTAATTGCATGTAATATTCTAATTTACTGAGATTGCAGATTTGGGGTTTTCATGAGCTGTAAGCCATAATCATCGCACCTATGACAAATCAATGCTTGAACTATCTTGCCTTGCATGTAATGTGTCTATCCCATATTTTAGTTTCCCCTTTTACGTTGCATTTCTGAAATAAATAAACTTTTGCACGATATTCTAATTTTTCGAGGATCACCTGTATAGTGCTTCAGAAAGTCCTTTATGAGTCGAAAGTGTCTCGTTAAGAGTGTGATTTTTTTTTAAGGTTATGCAAGACTTAGGGTTCAACAGGTTTTAAGGTTAAGGAAAAGTTAGAAAAAAGTGTGGCCTTCTAGATACTGTGGAACTCCAAACTTTGACATGCCGAGAATCATGGAAAATACAGTCAATAGCACCTTAAAGGAAAGCACTCCTGACATCTAAATGAACCCTAAGCCTCTATCCTTAATTTTATGTCCCTCTCAACCACAAACATCACCAGATATCATATGAGCCTTTTAAGTGAAAAAAATGTTCTCAGGTTAAAATTATTTTAAAAAATAATCTGTTTAGAAAATTGTTATAAAAGTCTACTTATTGACATGTATTCTTCAGACACTGATTTGAATAAACCAAAAAGAAATGCACCTTATACACACACTTATATACAAGGATACTTATCAGTGGTTAGTGAATGCAGCCTCCCTCAGATCGCTCCCAGCTAGCAATCAACTTGAACACAAGAATATACAAAACACAACGAGGGAACCAGCTGATTGTCTAAATGAAGATAAATAAAAAGAGGTATAGTGTAATACAGTTTTACAATATTAACACTGCGCAATATAAAATGCACTCACAGGATATTGGACAGTTCAGGCATATATGGTGCCACCCCTGATGATATGGGGGGCTAGAGAAATCCCCTGGACACTTCCACTCAAAATGCAGGACTCCAGGTGAAGATATGAAAAAAGCGGCTTTAATTGTATAAAAATATAAAATAGATACAAATAAAGGTCCGGTTAGTGAATGCAGCCTCCCTCAGATCGCTCCCAGCCAGCAATCAACTTGAACACAAGAATATACAAAACACAACGAGGGAACCGGCTGATTGTCTAAATGAAGATAAATAAAAAGAGGTATAGTGTAATACAGTTTTACAATATTAACACTGCGCAATATAAAATGCACTCACAGGATCTTGGACAGTTCAGGCATATATGGTGCCACCCCTGATGATATGGGGGGCTAGAGAAATCCCCTGGACACTTCCACTCAAAATGCAGGACTCCAGGTGAAGATATGAAAAAAGCGGCTTTAATTGTATAAAAATATAAAATAGATACAAATAAAGGTCCTAATGAAAAAAGCGGCTTTAATTGTATAAAAATATAAAATAGATACAAATAAAGGTCCTTTATTTGTATCTATTTTATATTTTTATACAATTAAAGCCGCTTTTTTCATATCTTCACCTGGAGTCCTGCATTTTGAGTGGAAGTGTCCAGGGGATTTCTCTAGCCCCCCATATCATCAGGGGTGGCACCATATATGCCTGAACTGTCCAATATCCTGTGAGTGCATTTTATATTGCGCAGTGTTAATATTGTAAAACTGTATTACACTATACCTCTTTTTATTTATCTTCATTTAGACAATCAGCTGGTTCCCTCGTTGTGTTTTGTATATTACTGATTTGAATAAAGCAAGTTAAAGGAGCCATGTAGATGCCACTATCAAATGTACCAGATATGTGCATTTAGACTCTGAGCACCATCTCAGTTGTAGTTAAAACCTTTAAAATTTTTGGACAAAACTAGTGGTCATTGAGGCACCAGCAGACCGAACTCTGATTGCCAGAGTTGTTACTTCCACAGAAGCAAAATCAATTTCATCCATATTTTAACTATTCATTCAAATTACTCATGCTAAGAACTTGCTTTCATTTTATAAGTGTGTTTTTACCTCTTTTTAGGACAATCCAAAGGATGCCATATTTTGCAAGGTGATGACAAAGGATTGGATTACACATCGTGTGTAAATGAGTTACCTTTTGTTTGTTACTACACACAAGGTACATAGCACTTAAGTGTATATTCAGCTTTCAATCTGCGATCTGTGTATATAATGTCAGTGTAATTCATGTCACTGTTTATGTGTGATGTATCTGTGTGTAAGAATGCATGCATTATCAGTGTGAGTGCATGTCAGATTTGTTTTGTACAATGTCAGTGTTATTGTGTGTTGTGCTAGCGAATGTTGATGTTTGTGTATATAAAATGGCAGTATGTATGCAAGTACAATCTTTGTAATTATATGCCAGTGTTCTCTGAAATAATTCTGCTCAGCACTCTGTTTTTTTACATACCAAAAACCAATCATCCAGATTGACATGCTTTGCCAATTAATAGCTGTTATAATTTACACTCTGACGCTTA